AGCTCTTTAAACAGCTGATCATTGTCTGGCACTTCACAGCATAGTAGCTTAGTCGTTAGCTTGTCTTCTGGGAGCTTTCCGCTGCAAAGAAAGAGGGAGCTGTATTAGTAGGATCTGAGCTAGACTGGCAGTCTTCATTCCTTTGGACTAATGAGTGTTAGAATAGGAATATATAGCTGCTCAGAAGAGGAAGTTATTAATTTTAGGTCCAGTATGTAGCATGAGTTTTAATGGCAAGTACCTCTTCTAATTGCAGAAAAAATGCTTACTTGAAGATCCGATGGGGTGATTGGAAAGCAGATGAATGAGCATCCTTAACTTTCCTCCCCTGGGGAGGTCAGAGTATTTCTGAGGTGAATAACAAACACCTTCAGCATATTGTCAGCAAATTCTTTCTTTTCTGAGACTGTGGAGAGGAATGAGCCACAGCCATTACTAACTGTAATGGCTGCTCTTTTTCTTTACTTATTTTCCTCCTCCTTTTTGAATATTGATTAATGTGTTTTTCATGTCTCTTTTGTGTTTACTCCAGCAGTTGGTGCTTCTCTGACAAGGAATAAGCTGTCTTAAGGGATAGGAATGGAGACAATTTACTTGCATTGCTAACAAATGGGCAAAGAGCTATAGCAGTTCAGAGGGCAAGAGAGGTGTAATTCAGGATTTTATTACAATTATCTAATCTAAGCATGAAGATCAAGATCAGGTCACAGGCTGACCCCTAGCATGATGGTCCATTTGTTGTAATTGATCCTACCACAGGGTCATTCTGGAGTTTTTTGTTTTTGTAGAATATCATTACGTTTTTAGATTCCCCAAACTAATAAACTTTGTATTTAAACCCCCATATTTTCCATATTGCTCTTGGAATTCACCAATAAGGATTAGAGGTTTTGTGAAGGAAGGAGAACTTAGTGAACTGGGGAAAAGGATGAGTGCCACTGGGACTTCAGGAAAATTTATCTTGTGCTAACCACACCTTGAAGAATGGCTACGTGCACCTTGTGAAGGCAAAGATATTGCTCTTTTTTCTCTACAGGAGGATTAGACCGTTGTTGGATGCTGTGCAGGGGTGTGTCTGTGTGTGTTGCGAGGAGGACTGTAACAAGCATTGTCACAGAGCTGACATTGTCTCAAGATAGAAAATATTTAGCCTAATTTTCTATTGGACTCTGACCAGCCAGTTTCAGTATTGGAGAAGAAAGGGATAAATATGGCTCTCACTTGTGGCTGATGTGTACATTAGAAGAGCTGCATTATTTCAACATTGTCTGAATACGAAACCGTTGTCCAGCGGTTGACAAAGGCCAATGTAGAAGTTTGATTCACTGAGATAAGCAATTCCTGTCTATTTTTTAGAGAGTAGCAGTGCTGTAATAGGGCCTACGGGAAGCTGATAGCCCTTTCTTTAGACAAAATTCTTGATGCTGTGGACTGGATTGTAGTGCTAATTTCATCCATGGGAGAAGTCTAATTCTCATGTGGCACTGGAATATTTTCAGGAAAAACTGAAATTGCTTGGTTTTTTTCAATTCCTGTCATGCTGCTACAGATACAAATAGAGAAGAGAGAGAACCCCAGTCCTTCAGTGAGTGTTTCCAAGAGCAGAGCAAAAGCAGATATTGTGATGATTGTATTTAACCTTTTGGTAATCTTAGATCTTATATATATTGAGATTCTTCCTGTAGTACAGGTACTACAGTGCCTGCTCTAAAGGAGCTTTAGCGCGTGTCAGAAGCAACAAGCATTTCAGCAACCTCCCTACTGCTGGGAGACAAAGGAGGAAACTTCCTCTCCCAAATCACTTATGCTGTACAGAAAACATTAACCTGTAGAGTCTGCCCGGTTGTCCTAACTCGCATTGCAGAACCGCTCCCAAACTTTATAGTTTTATGTTCTTCTCTCTTCAGATGTTTTGTGAAGTGAGCTGCTGGAATTGAGTCTCACAGACTCCCTAAGGTACAGTGTACAGTTTGCCCCCACCGCACAGCGTGCCACGTGTTACTAAGGTGTTTTATCCACTTGAGATGCTCTGGCAGGGCAGGTTAAGCAATCACTTCTCATTCCAGAGCTGTCCAGTGGTACTGCCCTATGGTTTCACTGCATCACTTCTTTTTAATTTGCTGGGAGTGTGATAATTAGGTGATAGTCTGACACCACCCCAGAACTTAGTTTAGGAGTATCCTGATGGTAGGGTTTCTTGTACTGAAGCGTTCTCTTACAGTTTTAGTGCATCAGATATTTGAAAAATAGCCATTTTCATTTAAACCCATTAAATTTTAATATTTACGTTTGAGGTGAATTACATTATCACGATAGGAACATGCAAGTCCCTGTGTAAAGATATCACCCATAGGTTAACATATAGAAATAAACGCTTTGTATTGGTGAGGATGAGTCCCTGAGACTGAGATCACAGTTACATTTCTGTCTCTGCCTGAATTAGCGGGAATTTCAGTAAATCAATGAGCTGAATTGATTTGATTTGATTAAATAGAACAGAATTTGTGTATCTGAGTTGTGTTTTTCCTAAGCAAGAATTTAAAGCTATTTTTCTTATATTTTTCTTTCCTAGATACGTATGTAGAAAACTTTGTTCATAGATTTATTATGGAGTAAGTTAAGAAGTACTATCATGGGGTGTTTACTTAATTCTCATTAAGAAGATCGAAACACTTTTCAGCCATAGGCTTGGATTCTTAGTATAAAAAACTGTTCCTCCTGGTTACAAAGACATGATTTTGCAAGCTGTTGGAGCCTGAATTCTATTTCTGATACATATTAACTACATTTTATGAGGACAAACCAATCTGACTAATTACTCCAAAATCCTCCTACAGATAGAATTCTGTACAACTCTATCAGTAGTTTTTTCAATATTATTCCCTATTCATGTACCTATATCTTTTACAGAAATATTACTGCAAGACTTATTTTCAGAAAGCATTTTGTTTCTCATAAAATAAGATTTTAGCTAATCCACATAGTTTGATTATTTATTTTGTTATTAAATTACTGGATTGTCTCTTTATTTACTTTTTATTCATGTTTTCTGGAAACTCCTGAAAGCCCTAAAGAATTGTGGGACCCTATGGTGGTGGACATTCTAAGCCTAAGCAAAAGAAATCAACAGAGCTTAAAGTAATGAAGATACAGGAAGTAAGTAGGTATAAAAAAGGAGAATAAAACGGAGGAAAATGAGTGATAGGGAATACGATTAGTTTGGTGAAGATGTTTTGTATCTAAGATACATAGAGAAGAAAGGGTAGAGGTGGATAGGTGATGGAGGTTGCTGTTGTAAGTGATTACTGCAGTAAGTGAAAGGAAGAATTGGTATGTAAAATAACAGAGAAAATAATGAGATGGAACGAATTGTGAAGAAGGGTAAAATATTTTTAACAGAAGATATGCCACAGGGATTCTCGCCACACAGTAAAGCAGCAAGCCTGCCAAATAGCATGAGGCCTTCTGCCCGTCGGATCGGATGTTGCATTTCTCTGTCGCACCTGCCCTTATGGATCCCGGGAGGTGAGCGCTGCCCCTCCGCAGCGTTGCCCACAGTGCGCTGGGACGAGCGGCAGCATGGCAGCTCGCCATCAGCCTCGCGTGCACGAAGCCTCTGGAGAAGGTCTTGAGAAGGGGCCAAGGATTTTTGGTGGCCAGTTTGAGAGCAGACCTCCTTAACTGCGAGTAGCTAAGCACTGAAAAACAGACTCCTGTACCGTATCTCCAGGAGAGCACCTTAAAGTGGAGGCACCTGGAACCAGTAGATGCTTTCAAAAATAATTTGCACACCTCATAAAGCAGAAGCAGGATTTTGTGATCAAAACACAAAACTACCAACATAATCAATGCTTTTTTTGCCTAATTTTGGTGTTGGTTAAAAAATATTTTCTGTATTTGAAAAAAAAATCCGACAGCATCCAAGAGCATGTGGCAAGAGCATATCATATGTTTAAAATGAGCAGCTACGTTGGCCATTAGCTGTGCATCCTTCAGTTACGCAAGTGACTA